ACCACTGCTGCCTTTTGAGGGTAGGGCAATGAGGCTGACCATGGTTTTGGGACCATCTGAGCCCCTTTGGGCTGGCAGAGGCACCAGCATAAGGCCACTAAGCTCCCAAAGAGACCAGGATAGCACAGCCAAGCCCTTGGCACTGTGGGACCCCAGGTCCACCAGCAGCCAGGGCCCCCCCATCCCTCCATGTCCACCCTGCTGCACCAGGGTGGGTGCAAAGGGGCAGAGCCCTGTACCGGGGGTGCCCAACACATGATCTGTCCCATTCCCACCCATGGGGTTGTGGGCGGCATCGGTCTGTGGGTCCCACGGCACAAGGGGAGCTGCACAGGATGACACACAGGGACACGTGGGGACACCCGAAGCTCCCATCTCCACGCAGGGGAATCCCCGGCTTTTCCCGCGGTCTCCCTGCTATAAACCCTCCCCAGAGCCCTACCGGGATGCCGTGGGGCTGGATCGGGCCACAGAGGGACGGCAGCAGTAGCACCTGTGTCCCCAGGGCCTCCCCAGTCCCCTCTTAGCACAAGGGGAACCCCGTCACCAGCCCTCCCACCTCAGGAGGGGGAAGCGCCATGGGGACACCCTACCTGTGCGGGTGCCTGCGGGGTGCTGTGCGGTGCGGAGAGGGGGCAGTCCGCGTTCCCCACTTCCTCCTTTTGGCTGCCACCGCGCCGGCGGCCCCAGACAAAGCCGCCGCTCCTGGTTCTCCTGCCGCCGCCCCCCACCGCCGCTCGGCTCCAGCGAAGGACAAAGCCGCCTCGCCTGGCTGCCCCCGCCGGGTCACCGTGGGCCCCCCCCGCGGGCCGCCAACTCGGGGACACGGGAGTCCCCGCAGCCCCCGCACCGCTATGGGCAGGGAGGGCTCCCCTAAACCTCGCAGAGCCCTGTGGAGAGCCCCACGACCGCGCTGGGGGGCTGGGGGTCCCCCACACTCAGGTGGGGTCCCTGCAGCCACCAACCCTGCGCAGGGACCCCAAGGTCACAGGGAAGGGCAGGAGGGCCCCGTGCACCCAACCGCCTCGACGGCTGCACCGCGGCACGTCGAGGCCATGAGGGCCCGGTGGTGCCAGACCCTGCCGGGAGCCCCCAGCACCAACCCCGGGCTCGGCCCCGCCATGGCCTCAGGTCCCGCCAGCACCGGTGCCACACTGCGTGCCGGTGTCACGCCAGAGAGAGTGAGGAACTGGGGGCTCTATGGTTGCGGTGGGTGCTGAGCTGGGTGCTGGTGCTGGCTCCCCCCGGGCCTGTCCTTGGGGCCATGTCTCACCGGTGCTGTGCCGGCAGCCAAACCCTGTCACCAGCGAGAACCAAGAGCCCCCCGTTCTCCCAACCAGTTCGGCCGTGCTCCCCTTCACAGCCTCATGGCTTCAATCCCTGCGGCCACACTGTCCCCAAGGACAAAGACCCCAAAACCCCTTGACTCCAGCAGCAGGGGATTGCCCAAAGCAAAGGCTGTCCCCGCTTTGGGGACCCACACCCAGAGGAAGCCATCACCGAGGTCCCCACCAGTGCTGCCCACAAGGTTCCCACCGTTGCCATCCCTGGGGTTCCCCGCCGCTGCCCCCACCCGCCGGGGTTCCCCCAGTTATCTCCCCCCTTCCTGCTCACTTGCCGCGGCCCCGTGCTCTGGGGGCGCCGGGATGAGCCGGGGTACCGGGTGCGGGCGGCAGGTACACGGTGGGGCCGCGGCCGCCGGAGCGTGGTGGAGATGGCAGCCGAGCTTCAGCGCGTGTGGAAGGCGCGACGCGGGGGGGGGAGAACCGGGGGTGCTTCCCCGCCCCACAGCCCGCGCCCCCCCGCACAGCGGGCACTGACCTTGAGGCCGCGGCGCCGGCAGAGGATGGGGGGAGGACGGTATTTTTAGCCGGGTACCGTCACTCCCATCGTGTCCCCATTGTGGCCGCCGTGGGCTGCCCCAACCCGCCCCCGCCCCTTCTCCCCCCTCCCGGGCTCCCCCGGCGCAGCTTTGAGGTGCTGAAGAGGTCCTGTCTGGTCCTGCACCCCCAGAGCCTCGAGGTGCCCTAGGGGTCCCTTTCCCAAGGAGTCACAGTGCATCCTCCTCTGCCCCTCTGCATCCCCATTGCGCCGGGGGGAGGGTTCCACGCAAGCTGGGGGGGGGTCCCCATGATCCAGGGAATCCCCAAGAATAAGGGGGATCCCCAGGAGTCAGGCGAATCCCCAGGAGGGAGAGGAGATCCCAGGAATCTGGGGGATCCTCGAGGGGGGGGGGGGAATTCCCAAGAGTTAGGGGGTTCGCCAGCACCAGCAGGTCTCCAGGAGCTATGGGGGGTGTTCCAGAAGCTGGGAGGATCCCCCGGAGCCCGGGGGGATGCCAGGAATCAGGAGGAACCTCAGGAGCTGGGGGGGGGGGGGAGCCCAGGAGCAATGGGGGGCGGGTTCCCCCAACCCCCCATTAACCCCGGCCCCCCCCATCCCAAAGCACCCACCTGCACACAGACCCCGGCCTCTGCTGCCCCCGGGCGCTGCCGCCGGTGACCATGGCCTGGCGTCGGTGGAGAGCCCGGTGCGCCGGGAGGTTCCGCCGGCGGCGCGGGATGAGCCGGGGGCCGGGGGTGCCTCGGGTCCCGCCTGGCCCCACGCGGCTGCTCCGTGCCTCGGTTTCCCCAGCGCGGGGAGGGGAGGGCCGGGGCGGGTGCGGCGGCGGCGCCGGTGCTGCTGTGGCTCAGGCTCACCCCGCGCAGCCGCGCACGCCGGCAGCCCCGCTATTGTCTGCAGCTAAATATAACCTCAGCGGGCTCCCCCGCTGCCAGCACCACCACCGGCACCATCCACCCGCCGTGCCCCCGAAGCAGCCCGTTGTGAGCAGGACCCAGCGCCCCCATCCCGCGGCACCACGGTGGGGAAATGTGGTTCCCCCCCCTCCCGCCGGGCCCCCGGCTCGATGCGCATCAATCACACGGCGGGTGGGTGGGCAGCGGCGGGGGCACACGCGCGTGCAAGCAGGGGAGCGGGGGGTGAGCGTGCACAGGGAGGGATGGGTTGAGGGTGCTGAGCCGTGCAGTGAACAGAGCCCGGGGGAAGGGGGGGCACAAGGGGGTGTGAACAAAGGGGGTGTGCACAGGGGTGAGCACGCGCGTGTGCGTGCACGCGCAGCTCCGTGTGTGCAGGGCTTGCACGCGCAGCCTCGTGCCGGCTGCTGCAGTGCGCGGGGGGGGACGGGACGTGGTGCAGAGAGCGACTGTGCGCGGGGAGGGGATGCCCGGTGGGGGTGGGGGTGTTCCCTGCACGGCGGTGCGGGGATCCCACTGCCTCGTGACCGCCTCCCCCCCCCCCCGGATTCCCCGCCCCCGCAGCGGAGCAGCCCGTTGCCATGGCAGCAGAAGGACGAGGTTGGGGGGGGGGGGAAAAATCCCCGGAGGGGCGGGGTGGGGAAGCCCACCCCCCCCCCCCGGAAATTCTTTGCTAAGGGGGTGCCCCTGCAGTGGGTGTGTGTGCAGGGGTTCCCTCATTAACCCCTTCCTGCACCGGGGGATCCCCCACCACATTCCCTCTTTACAAGGGAGGGGGGTGTGTGTGTGTCCCGATCTCCCCCATCAAAGGATTCCCCCCATTCATCCCTTCTTTGCAACTAGGAAACCCCCAACCTGCACTGGAGCAGCTCCCCTTCCCTAGCATGGGGGTTCCCTTCCCTGAACTGGGGAGGGGCAGCCCTCCATTAATAGCCCCCACCCAGCAAAGCAGGGGGAGATCACTGCATCATGGGGTGGTGCCCTATATCATGAGGGGGGTCCCCTATGTCACAGAGTGGGGGGGTTCCCTCCCCAGGTGCTGCTATGGGGGCTCAGCCTCCAGTACTTCAAGGCTATGGGGGGGCCCTCTGTGCCGCAGCCCCCCCGGGGTAGCAGCACAGCACTGCCGCAGTGCCAGGGAGGAGGAGGGGAAGGAGGGTGGGCTCTGCTGCACAAAGCGAGAGCTGCGCAGGAGCTGAAGGCCTCTGCACCATGGGGGTAACAGGGGAGGGCAGGGAGGGGGGATCCCCGGAACCCCCCCCGTGAGGGGGAACACTGCAGTCTGGGGGGCAGGCAGGGGTCAGGAGAAACACTCCTGTGTTTCTCCTTGGTTCACCATCGAGGGGCTGAGGGGTGGGGGTGGGGGTTTCACCTTCACTACTACAGCTGAGTCACACGCACATCCCCTGCTGGGGGGGGGGCACAAAGGGGGTCCCCCACCCCAAATCCCTAATCCAGGCAGGAATTAACTCCAGGAGGATTTTCAGCCACGATTTAGGGGAAGAATCCCCCTGCCCCCCGCTTTTCTTCAACAAGTGCAAAGGGTTGGGGTTTATTGTTTTTTTTTTTTTTAATGGGGTTCAAACACAACAAACTCCTCACAGAACGGGGGGGGGGGGGGGGAAGGGACACTGGGCACCTTCCTTCCTGCAGTTACCTGGGGGGAAACATACACCCTGGCCCAGCTGTCCCCTCAGCAGGCTGCAAGGGAGCCCCAAAACAGCCACTGCTGCTGCTCCTCAACCCACCCAAGTGCAAATGCTGCTGCTGCTGCCTCCAAGGCTCCAGCATCAATCAGGAGCAATCCTGTGCAGGAATAGGGGCCACTCACTGCCCGGGATGAGCCCTGGTGGTGCCACACCATGGGAAGGAATGCCAGCGGGATGCTGAACCAGCCCTGGGGTTGGCATTCCCTGCTGATCTACACAGGTAAAGCACCAACAGCAACAGGCACGGGTTTAGGTCATAGGAAGGAGTTTCATTCCCAAAGGAGACCAGAAGAGATGTGAGAAGGGAAGAGAGGAAATGCCAGTGCTTGGTCATAGAGAGGGGCTCACCCATTTCTTCTCCTGGAGCACTGGCACAGGCAGGTTCATGCCCTTGGTGCAGCAGTGGCTGAGACAACATTCCCAATATCCTTCCACAGGCTCCTGCCTGAGCCTGGGAGCAGTCAGGGGAAGCAGCGATAGGAGAAGCAGCAGCTTCCCTCCTGGAGACAGGCAGCTCATTTGTTGTGCAGGGAGCTCCTGTCCCACCAGCAACCTGTGAGGCTCTGGGCAAGGCCACCAGGGAGGTGACAAGAGAGGAGTGTGACACCAGTGTCCTGCAGGGATTGCGCTGTGCTATTTCTCCTCTTCCTCCTTGAAGATGGAAGGTTATTTTCTCTCTTCCCCTGTAACTCTTTGCTGACGGAGCTTCTGCTCCCATTGTGGTTCCTCCTCCCCATCTAACTCCAGCTGAGACCCAGAGGTGGCTGGCAGCAGGCAATGCCAACAGCAGTCCCAGTCTGGAATCAATGTGGGGACATCCCAGCACCCAAGATGACACAAGCAACAGCGGACAGGTGCCTTCCTCATGGTGCTTGCAAGAAGTACTCACCCTGCAGAGGACGAGGATGCAGCGCAGCAATGGCAGAGTTGGGGTGATGCAGTCTGGGTGAGGTCCAGCCTGGAAAAGGTTGCTGGGGGGTCCCCAGCTTGGCAGGAAGCAGCGCTGAGGCTGCACCCTGGGAGCACTGAAGGGATGGAAGCGAGTTAGTAGCTTGTTTTTGTTGTAAGACAAGTGGCTTAGGGGACAGGAGGGTGGTAGTGGTGTGTCCTGGTCATGCTGCACCAGCATGCCCAGGGGGACAGGACCATGCAGGGTCCTGAGCTGTGGCCTCGTGCTTATCTTAAATCCAAGAACAGACAGAAACTGGGGGCAGGAAAACAAAAGGAGAGGAGGTTCCTTGTGTCTCCTGTTCTCCTGGGAGCAGAGCCCCGGGGCCTCCTGCCCACTGTCCGGGGGTGGGGGTGTGGTGGTGTGTGCGATTGCTCAGCTCTAGTTCTACTTTTGGCTGTTGTAAGCCTTGTGCCGCTGGTTCATGGGGTTTTCTGGAGACTTCATCCACTCCTTCTTGAGGAGCTGCTTGAGCTGGGACAGGCGCATGTTGGGGTTCTCCTGCTTCAGGCGTGGCAGGTTGAGCTCCTCGAAGGCGGTGAAGGCGGCTTTCATCCGGCGCTCCGGGTGCCGATCCAGGTCATTGGCAACGCTGCCAGGAGAGAATTCAGAGGGAGCCACACATCAGAGCCACCTCCAGCAGCACCACTAAACCCCTGTCAGCACAACCAAGTGCCTACAGAGTAACACGGGTGATAAAGCAGGAAGCCCTGTGATACTCCTCCCACCACTTCAAATACTCTCCAAAGAACAACAGGCCAAGGGACAGGTCCTGTTCTTGCTGTTGCGATATGAACTGACAATCAGAGCATAAAGAAGAGCCAGTTCTGGGGAAGGATCTGCAAGGACTTCTCTGAAAGGAAGCAACACCTTCAAAGGAGAGCACTGCTGTGATACACCCACGTACCTGAGGACAGCAATGGCATCTTCAATCGTTCTGGCCTCCACTGATCCTTCCTCCAGTACCCTTCTGTTGACGTTCTCTTCCAAGGGGACCTCCAAGTGAGTCTTCTCCTTTTCCACTGCACGGGGGGGGGGGGGGGGGGGGAAGGAGAGCTGTGAACGTCAAATCCAGCCTGTGCAACACCCTCATAAGGTTTTCAAAAGCACCCTGAAGAAACTCAGACAGAGCTCAGTCTCAGTCCTCTACAGCTCTGTTCCTCCACCTCAAGGTGACAGGAGGTTTCTTCTTCCCCCCATCTGAACGTTAGTCTCAGCAAAGCATGCAGCACACAACAGCTACAGGCAGCTCTTGCTTTCCAAACACCTTGCCCATAAGCAAGGGCGAGTGCAGAAGGAAGAGCCCCCTTCCCACTCCCAGCCCCCCGTGGCCATCAGGGCCTTTCTGTGGTAACACAAACCTGCCTCTGCATTCTCCTTCTGCTGCTGGTCTTTCCTGATTGTCTCCTCGATCTGGGCCCTGGTGACTTTTCCTGGAGTGACCTGCTTGGGTGACTTCCCCTTCAGCTTTGAGTCTTCCTCCTCCAGCAGGCGCTGCAGCTCCTTCTTGCGCTCCAGCTGCTCCAGGCGCCGCTTCTCCCGCTCTTCCTGAAGGGAGAAAGGATCAGCTCACCTCCACCCTTACACCTCCATAGGGTGGAGGGATCCAACTAGCCCTTACAGGAGAAGGGTACCCTGCTAGAGCAGGAGCAGGCACCTCACTTCTGTAGCTAATGCAGCACTGACCTCCTCCTGTCACAGGGGATGTTGGCTGGTTCTCCCCAGTGATAGCCGGGCCCTTTTGAATAATCATTCCCTGCCCTGTCTGCACCCACACACAGACTCCTTGGGATGGCAGGACGGTGAAACGCAACCCTGATGACTATCACATTAAGTTCTCCACTTTAAGAAGTGGTCAGAGGTTGAAAGTTCAGCAGTTGTTTGAGAAAAGCCAGTCAAGAGGCTGAATTCATCCTCAGGTCTGGCTCAGGGCAAGCAGGGAGACCAAATCCAACAAGCAGTGCAGCTCCTGTGGGGATTTTCAAGTGCTCCACAAGGAAGTTAAGAGCCACTTTGCCCTCCAAGGTCCAGAGAAGAGGCTGACAAGACCATGCAACAAGCCCTTAAGGGCTTTCAGCACTTTGGCTTTGAGTTTTCTTCCTTCTCTCCCCTGCAGAAAGGAAAACAAATGCAGTGTCACAGGCTTCAGAGCATTTCCTACCTCAGTTAGTTACATGGACACTTAATTCTGGCTCTCATCCATTATTCACTGGGATGGCTCAAGGAACTGATGGAGCATTAATGGAATGGGTTTACTCAAAGGCAGCAAACCTAGCCCCAGCAGTAACACAACCCGTTACCATCCATGTCCAAGGAGCAGGAACAGAATTATGCATGCTGAGGTAGGGCCCACTTGAGACACATGAGCAAGGCTGGGCTTTGAAACGCTATGAAACAGAAGAACCCCCCAAGCTGCTCCACAGCTCAAGGGTTTAAAGCAAACCTCATAAAAAACAGAATCAAAGCCTACAGTTGCTGAATTAAATCACCCCCTCGGGCTGCTGCTGTTTGCATCAAGGACCAGACCTTTCAAAGGGAAGGGAAGGAAAAGCTCACCCAGCTACACCGGGAGCAGCTGGGGCCAGAATGGGAAAACAGCCTTTGGAGTGGATGGAGCCTTTATTGCAAGTGGCTGTCTTCAAAGTCTTGGTCATTTAGTACTCAGTGCCTTGAGCCACAGCACTGGGGTGTTATTTCCAAGTGCAAACTCACTTCTTCAAGCCACCAGCTCCAGCTTTCCCTGCCCAGTGCTCTCCTGTGGGGCCTCTCCCTCTTCTAGCAAAGGCTGAGTAAACAAGTGTCCTCAGGCTTCCAGATCAGGAGGGATTTTGGCCACCCCTGGAACAGGCCGGGTGTCATACGAAGAAGAGGAAGGCTGCCTTTAAAATGGATACGCAGGGATATGCCTGAGCAAGAGCCACCAGGGTGCTTTGCCACCTCACTCAGCACAGCTCCAGCTCCAGACAGGATTTCCAGGTTGGCCACCAGCCTCTGGTGGTCTCTTTTTAGGAAGAATACAGAAAAGCTCCTCAAACTGGAGAGTTTAATGTGCCAAAACAGAAGGAGGCACCCAGAAGTCACTGAAGGTCCAGCACTCAGATGGAATAAGCCATTTAATTAGATGTAAAGCACATGCAAGAGAAGCAGCACTGTGTACTCCTGGTACTGGTATCATGCCTGGAACATGGACTGATGCAAATGTCCCAACTCTAAAGCTCAGGGGTGATGAACAATGTGACCCAGAGAAGCTGCTGGCAGGGTGAGCACAGCAAGGCTGCAGGTGTGGTTGTGGCCTTGAATAATTCAGGAGCCACATAAGGAGAGGATACACGAGTACTAAGGACCTAAGGGAAGGGAGCAAGCCTGTTCAGAGCAGGACTGTTATTTATAGTTAGAAAATACTCTTTTACCCATTTATTACACAAAGGGACCTGTCCTCCACTGCAGCCAGCTCAGCTTCATACAGCTCCTGCTGAGACACATCTGACAAGAGCAAAGATTCCTGCTGCCATTTCCAAAGAGGACAGAGCCACTTGGCCAAGGGGAAACAGGCACATGTAGGGCACAGAGGCTTCCTCCTGCCCTGTGGGCTGCGGGGGACCTCCGGTGACTCCTCTCCTCCAGGGTGAGCTATTCTCCGCTCTCTGGCATTTACACCCTAGTTGCTATTTGCAGGCAGGAAATAAGTTGGCACCAATCTTCAGGTGTCACAAGACCTGTAAAATCTACATGCTCAGGTTTCCCCTGTGGCCTCTCACATCCAGGTCTGCTCTGCACCATCTGCAGGGCTTCAAAGCAGCAGCTCTGAGCCTCCTGCTCCTCAAGCCCAAAGCCCCAGGGGCCTGAAGCTGTCAGCTTTGAAGAGTTCTCAGGTTGGGCCAATCCAAACTAATGCTTTATGCATCAGCTTAAAAGTCCTGATGAAAGAGAGGTTTGGATTTGCCCAAGTGGAACATATCTGTAATAAAACTGGAAAGGATACCAATGATCTGCCTCAACATTGCTGCACTTAGAGCAGCAAAGGGGGAAGATTCCTTTAGCTGGACACTTCTGTTCCCCAGGATTTATGTGTTGAAATAGGAGTTTCCAGCCTTGCAGAGAATTGACAGGGCAACTCAGAAGAGCTTTAGCTAGGCAGAAAGAAAACAAGGTCCCACACATGTGGCTTTGAGAGCAAGTGGTCAACTGAAGCAGGAGCACTGCCCATCAATGTGAGAGCCTGAGGAAGGCTGGAAAGCACTCTGCTCCTTATAGGGCAGAAGGGAAAAGCAATGCACAGAGATGATTCAGTCACAAAGTGAGTGGGGCATAACCGACCTGGAGCATGGCCAAGGGCTCACCAGGCTCTCCGAGGCACTCCAGAGCTTTGAGATGAGATCAAACACACTCCTTCCACTGCCCACAGCAAGCACGCAAGGGATACTGAAGCCTGAGGAAGTTAGCTCTGGGGTATGAATGCTGCCTGGTGTCATCAGCTGTCTCCCCGCTACATCTCTGCCCCAAGTTACTCATTTGAGCCATCAGAATTCAGTATTGGGTACCTGGTACCACGCAGACGTCCTCCAAAGTGGGGAGAACAGTCACTTGCCCTGTTTTGCATTTGATGTGAACAAGAGCTGCTGCTCACAGCTCAGTAATTCCACACTGAATCAGAGGAGAGGAGGGGGAAGAGAAAGTCACCGCTCACCCGCCTCTGCCACCACTGAGAGCTGCAGACCCACAGCCTCTGAGCACAGCTACAGGGAATGAGGAGGGCAGAAACCATGTGCCAAGGGAGTCACTGCTCCCTCCTGCACCATCTGCACCCTTCCAGCACTACTTACCCTACACTTAACTCGCATCTTTCCCCAGATCCTGCACACACAAGGTCTTCCTGCTCCTGTATCACCCACACATTCTCTTTTCACCATTCTCACTGAGTTTGGGAAGCAGATTGGAAATCTGGCTGCCCCCCAGCCAGTGAGATCTTCCCATGTGTCCTCAAGGTCACAGAGAGAAGGTCTGACTGCTCCAGCAGATGTAATGATTTGTCACCCTTCCAAGGAGCTTCCCCAGGACACACACACACATGAACCTGTGGCTGTTCCACCACCAGACACACTTTAGGTGTCTCTCTGCACAGAGAAAACCCAGCTGGGATCAGGCTACTGAGGAGCATGGTGCTGAGCTGGAGGATCTGACCCTTCACAGGAGGAGTGGGAAGGGCCAGGAAGGATGAAAACACCCAAGTGCTGAAAGAAAAGCAGTTACCCAGGTTAAAATTCCAGCAAGGAAGATGCAGATCCTGTGCTTTCGAGCTGGAGCTCTGCAGGGAAGGTGCCAGAGAAGGAATCACAGAGCTCAGATGCTCCTTTATGCATCAGAGTCAGCAAATGAACATCGTCCCCTGGTAGCAGGGCTCAGCTCTGGAGGCTGCTCTCAGAGCAGGCGGGTGGTGGCGTTTAAAGAGACCCCAAATGCAGAGTTTGGCCACAGCACATCCCAAAGGCTTCCAGCCCCTCCTGCCCTTTGGCGGTGCAGGAATCCTGGGGGCACAGTGTTACCGCCATTGCCCGGAGAGCGGGGGAAGAGCTGGAAGAGGTGGGAAGAGCTGCTGGGAGCATCCTCCTCCACACAGCACCATCCCTTCCCCGGGGGCGGTAGCTGAGCCCCTGCTGCAGCACACGGCCAGCAGCACTATTCCCAAGCCAGCACCACCTGCAAAGCGGTTACTCCTCCAGGGAAGCCTGACTCCTGTGAACAGTTTGGTTTCTACCCTCTCTAGGATGGGGATGGAAAGTCATTTACAATCCACATCCTGTCCCTGCAATGGGGCACAGGTGGCTTCTTCCATTCTCCATGGAGATATTCCAGCTGGATGGCACTGGAGAAGCAGCTGAGGAAGACACATATCATTCATCTGTTGGCTACTTGCTCAGCCACACAAAGGCCCAGCTTAGGCAGAAAGAGCTCCTGTGCAGGTGCAATAGACACAGAGCCTTTCTGGCAGGAGAACTTCCTGTATCCAAGCAGAGAATACCACTGCTGTGAGGGATTTGTGGGAAGCCAACACACTAAATGAGTGCTCAGGTGAAATTCGAACATAAAAGACCATGGCTCTGCTGATGCAGAGAGAAGGATGGATGATGTCCTGAGTGCAAACTGCCTCACTGGCTTCTCTAAAGCCCAGTCTGGGGCTCTGGGATGGAGCAGGGTTTTCCAGTTAGCAATTCCAGGTCCTGACACAGGCCCCCTCTCCAGCCTGCACACTCCTGCCCTGCAGGAGGCTGCTTTGGAAGCCCAGTCATTGCTGGCCAAGTCTTAAGGAGAGCGATAAGAAGTCCTTGTTCCACAAAGTAATTAGGCAGCATTCCAGGATTGAGATGGGGAACAGCACACAGGACTCTGAATGCCAAGACACACATTAGGGGTGAACTCAGGGGGTCACAGGGACACGCTGGCCTCCTGCTGCCCAGCCAGTGTGTTTGTACCAACACTGCCGCAGTTCAGAGCGGCACAAACCCAGTAACCCCTAAAACCCCATTTATGTGGTCAGTAGAAGCCCTGTCTGCGTAAGGGGAAAGGAATCACTTCATAAGAGGCAGTAAAGTCATCACAACAGTTGTTTCCACCCAAACCAGAAGGTGGGTTTATCTAATACTGATGCAGGACAACATCAAACCCCAAAGAAGCCCGGAAAGAACATGGAAGTGTTCTGTTATTGAGCATGGAGGCTAACAGGGGGAGCAAGCTGGTAAGAGCAAACTTGAGAGAACCCTTTAAGTGAGATGTGTCCTGATGTAACACCAAGTGAGGAAGGAGAACAAAAAGCTTTGGAACCTTTAACTCTGCTGATTTCTTCTTCCTTCTAGAAGAGTCAAAGACCAGTTAAGAAAGGAAAAGAAAACCAAGCTAAAGAACTGCTTGGTCAAGAATCAAGCCCCCAAGCAAAGTTCCTGATCTTTTCCTGAGTTCAATTTTAAGTCATTCAAACAATAAAGCTTTTCCTGCCTCCCCTGGGAAGCAATAAGATCCACCACATTTTGCAATTACACAGCAGAGCTTACACTTACTCCCACACTTGGCTTGTTTTAGCTCCCACAGGAGCCACTAGCTCCAGCTCTTCTACCAAAAACTAGCTGAGGACAATATGCAGGGACAGCAGAGGAGAAGCAACTCCTCCTAAGCAAGCCTGGAGCTCCCCTTCTCCCTGCCCAGCCATTCACCTTCCTCTGTTCCTTCCTCATCACGTGTTTGTCTTCATCCTTCCAGTAGGCATCTTCCAGCTCCTGCTGCCGTTTGGCATCGGCTGCTGCCTTTGCCTCAGCCTTCCTCACGCGGGCAGCAGCCGACTTGGTGTTTTCCCCTTGGAACTTCTTGGGCATCACTCAAGGTGATCTGCAGAGGAGAGCAAAGGGTTCAGATCCTTGCCCTATAGAGGATCTCAGGTTCACTGTCACCCTGGGAAGCAGGAACTGCTGCAGGTCACCAGGAAAATCCCCTTATTGCCTCATACTGTTTGGAGATCCTGGGCAACCTCCCAGCTCACCCAGAAGGAATCCTGCTCACTCCATCCCACATCCTCAGCAGGGGACATCCCCTCCTGCCTGTTTATTGTGTTGCACCATGACAAACAGCACAGACTCGGTGTCACACCCTCTGCCTGAGGGCACACACACAGCCCCGTGGCCCTGTTTCACAGCCACCTCCCCTGGGTCATCCAGGGAGGAAGAGTCCAACAGGAGCCTCACGATCAAGCAGACACCAAGAAAGGCCCTTCCCAGGATGCTGCCCATGCAGACGCTGCGCTCTGCATCTTAAATCTTCGCTTTCAATGGCAAAACCCGACCTGCTAAACAGGAAGCCCCACAGGAGGGCTCCAGGGAAGGCTGGCAGTTCCAGCCTCAAGCTTCTAAGAGATCAAATCCCGTCTCCCACCCACTCCTGCTCCGGCCCTTCCTGAAGGGCACGGGCCGCAGCCCCCGCCGGCCCTGCCCACCGCCCACCCCGGCCTCGGCTGCCTTTGTTGGGGACACGGAAACCCTCCCCTCGCTCCCCAGAGCCGCCTCCTTCCCTCCGCGGCCCTTCCCCTCCTCTCCCCTCAGCCCCGCTCCCCCTCCGCACCCCCGGCCCCGAGGCCTACCCCCGCCGCCCGGGACCCCTCCTACCCTGGCCTCGCCGCTCAGGCCGTCGCGCGTGTCCTGCGTCACCGCCGCGCGCCGTCGCTCCCGTGGGAGGGGAGGGGCGCCGGCGGCTCGTAGCGGAGAGTGGGGGGGGAAGCATCCCACCGCCGCCGCCATCTTTACTGAGGGCACATCCCCTCTAGGCAGCGCCACGGGGGCAAGGCTCGGGGGTGTCAGGGACCGGGCGGCACAGACAGAGCGGCAGCGCCCACAGCGCGGCTTGAAGGCGGAAAGAAGGCCCCTTCGTCGTCGGCCACCGCCGGCTCTGCCCGGCACAAAGATGGCGCCGAGCGGCGGCGGTGGGTGGGGCTTGGCGGGGCGCTGCCGATTGTTATCAGCGTAGGGCGTGGCTTAGCAGAGCCGGCCCCCCCCCCCCCGCTGCTCCCATTGTTACCCATTGCCCGCCATTGCCTCCTATTGCCCCCGCTGTTCCACACCAGCACCCGTTGCTTCCATTGTCCCCCATTACCCGCCATTGCCTCCTATTGCCCCCGCTGTTCCACACCAGCACCCGTTGCTTCCATTGTCCCCCATTACCTCCTATTGCCCTTATTGCCCCCCACTGCTCACATTGTCCCCCATCCCCATAGAGGCAGCAGCTGCCCCCTGGTCTCCTTCAGCCCCCCCAAGGACGGCCTCCTCCTGAAACAGCTCTTCCTTTATTGGACACTCCATCCTGTGTTATCCTACCCCGGTGGCCCCCCTGCCCCACACCCTACACATGGGTCTCCTGCAGCAGGAGGTCAGTGGCAGTGCTGGGCTCAGGAGGGCTCCAGGGGGTGCTGCCATCCCCCTCCAGTAGCACCTGGGGGGCTTCAGCCTTGCCCAGGGCCTCTTCCCCGGGGGTCTTGTCGCCTGTGGGGGCCACTGAGGTCGTCTGCTTCGTGATGTCCCACCACAGCACGCCTGGGGGCAGCCGCGTCCGCTTGCTCGGCCCTGCCAGAAAGGAGGTGCCATAGGGAGGGGCTGTGTGGGGAGGACGCGCTAAACCCCCCCGCGATGCTGGGCGATGTCCCTGTCTGGCCCCCAGCCTCACCTGACACGGAGCTGAGCAGGACCCCGGCCACCACTGTGGTGAGGGTCCCCAGCGCCCCATAGTACAGGTAGGAGATGGCATAGAAGTCACCCACGATGGCTGGGCTGTGAGGGGACAGCAGAGGCAGCCATGTGACATCACAGAGAACAGGGACAGGAGTGTGACGTGACAAGAAACAACATGGTGTGACGTCACAGTGAACAGGGACAGGAGTGTGATGTCACAAGGAGAGCACTGTGACATCACAGCTAGCATGTAAAGTGGTGTGAAGTCACAGTGAACAAAGAGGCGTGACGTCACAGTGAGGAGGAAAAGCGTGGTGACGTTGCAAGGAACAGGGCACAAAGTGACGTCACAGGAAGCCTCCCCCGGAGCCCCTCCCTCACCGTGCTGGCGCCGGGGGTTCCTCGGAGGGGAGCAGTGGTCCCAGCAGCAAGGTGCGGTTCGTGCCAGCGGTGCGGTTGTAGAGGGGGCAGAGGGCTCCGGAGGCAGGCAGCACCCCCATGGTCGCAGCGCTGGGGGGGTACAGGATACCCCCCACGGCCACCCACAAGGAGAGGGCCAGGCCAATGGCAAGGCCCCCCAGCACGCCCTGCACAGAGCAGTGGGGTCCACACGGCCCGGGGTGGGGGGCAGCGGGACCCTCGGAAAACCCCAAACAACCCCCCCAAACTCACGGCTGTAGAGCACATGGGCAGGAACATGCCCAGGATGAAGGCACCCAGCAGCGGGCCACTGATCACCCCCATGACGGTGAAGGAGCCCTGGAAGGGGGGTGAGAGCAAGGCCCCACTGCCCCGGCTGGAGGGTGGTGAGGGGGGGGAGGATGATGATGATGAAGTAGAGAAGGAGGAAGAGGAAAAGGAAAAGAAGGAGGAGGAGAGGAGTGTGACGTCAAAAAAGTCGTGTGACGTCACAGGGAACAAAGCGGTGATGTCACACACAAGGAGGACAAACAGGAGAAAAAGGAGGAAGAGGAAGAGGAGAAAAGAGGAGGAGGAGGAGAAGGAGCACGTGGAGAAAGAAGAGGAGGAGAAGGAGAAAGAGGAAAAGGAAGAGGAGAAGAAAGAGGAGGAAAAGGAGGAAGAGGAGAAGGAGAATGAGGAGGGTGAGAAGAAGGAGGAGGAGGAAGAGGAAGAAAAGGAGGAGAAGAAGGAGAAGGAAGATGCTGAGGAGGAGGACAAGGAGTAGAAGGAGGGCACTTGGCTGTGCCCCAGGCCCTGGCCAGCTCGTGGCCAGGGCAGGGGGGGTCTTGGCTGGACGTGGTTCTGCTCTGCGAGGCTCACCTGCAGCACACCCCCCCCCAGCAGCGAGGCCAGAGCAGCCACCGTGATGCACGAGGTGCCATAGATGAGTGCTGTGGGGAGAGAGGGCGGCTCAGCACCGCTGGCATGCACAGCATGGCATGACATGGCATAACACAGAACGGCATGGCATTACACAGCAGGACATGGTATGGAATGGCACAGCATGGCATTGCACAGCATGGCACCATGGAATGGCACAGCATGGCATTGCATAGCATGGCACCATGGAATGGCATGGAGCAGCATGGCATTACACTGCAGGACATGGTATGGAATGGCACAGCATGGCATTGCACAGCAAGTCACCATGGAATGGCACAGCATGGCATTACATAGCATGGCACCATGGCATTGCACAGCATGGTACCATGATGTGGCACCATGGCATAGCACAAACCAGTGTGGTGCAGTACAGGACAGGGGTAGCATGGCATGGCATGACAAAGTGCAGAATGACATGGCACGGCACAGCACAGCTCAGGGCAGCACAGCATGGCATGGCACGGGATGAGGTAGCGTGGCACCAGGATGTGCACCATGGTATGGCACAAAGAAATGTGGTGCAGGCAGCACAGCTTGGCACCACTCACACAGCCCCTTGGAGATAAGGGTCAGCCGCTGTGGTGCCAGAGCAGGCAGCCTGGGCTTTATGAGGTCCTCGATGGTGACGGCGGCCATGGCGTTGATGCTGGTGGAGGCCGTGCTGTGGTGCGGGCAGTGCTCAGCCCCTGCAGCCAGCAGGAGCCCCTTCCAACAGGAATCTTTGGGCTCCCCTTGGGGAGAGGGGTGCCCCATCCCCACCTCAGAGTCCCACTGTAGGCACAGGCGAGGAACAGCCCTGGCACCCCTGGGGTTTGCTTGAAGATGTCAAGCACCAGGTAGGGCATGTACTGTGAGGGGAGAGGTTGCATTGAGGGGGAGCCCCTTGCACCCAGTCCCTGGGTGTGTCCCTTTCACCCCTCCATGTGCAGCTCGAGAGGGCAGAGCCGGTACCTCATCGGGGGCTGAGATGTAGCCAGCGAGGAGGGGATCGCAGTCCTTGTAGAGCGCAAACATCACAAGGCCACAGGCCACTGCGCTGGAGACGATGCAGAAGAGCCCCACTTGATTGACCAGCAGTGCCCTGCGAGCACGGGGAGGGAGAAACCTCACTGAGAGGAGATCTGTAGCATGTGGGGTCCATGCAGGGGTGTGGGGTCCATGCAGGGGTGCACCGGCCATGCAGTCACACAAGGGCAATGCAGGGGTGCAGGGTCTATGCAAGGTCTATGCAAGGTTGTCAGGTCTATGCAAGGTTGTCAGGTCCACACAAAAGATTCATGCAGGGTCCATGCAGGGCTGCAGGGCCCATACAGGGATTCAGGCACTGGGCTCCCTGAGTGGACAGGCTGGATGCGGCCATTGCAGCCATTGCAGCCATCACCCTCACCCAGAGCAGCCCCTTGCCCCAGTGCACTATCCCATGCAGAGCAGGATCCAGCCCATCCCTGCATCCCCATGGACTCACATCGTGGCCTCCCTCTCGGTCCTGCAGGCCACGTAGCGCTGGACCTGGGCCTGGTTGACGCCGTACATGGACAGCCAGACCAGCGTGCCTCCCACCAGGAAGGTCCACACCGTGTACCGGCTCCGTGGGTCCGGGTTGAAGCTGGGCACCAGGATTTGGGGTGGGCTGGGGCTGGCACTGGCCCCCACACACACCCTGGCACCCCACAGGCTGGGGGGAGACTCACTCTGCCAGGTTCACCCTGGAGCCATTGGAAGCAATAGCCAGCACCATGGTGGGGCCCCCCACCAGCAGCACCCCCCGGATGATGATGGCAAGGAAGCCAGAGAGCATCACAAAGACCTGGAAGACGTCTGTCCAGATGACAGCTTTCATCCCACCCTGCACAAGACAGAGCTATAGTGAGCCCCAGGGAATAGAGGCTCCCCCAGGACCCTCCACTCCCTCCCTCACTATGGTGGTGTAGAAGGTGCAGATGACTCCGGTGGAGAGCAGGGACGCCCAGATGTCCAGGCCGGTCACTGGAGGAGAAGAGAAGGTGCTCAGCAGAGCCCTGGGGTGCAAAGACAGGGCTGAGATGTCCCCAGTGCAGGGATGGGGACACTAAGGGGATCACACCTTGGTTAAGGATCAGGGCCGGGGCATAGATGACGATCCCTGTGTACAGCATCTGTGGGAAGAGGAGGGTCAGCACCGCATCCCACTGGCACCATGGGGATGGGGAAGGAGCATGAGGGTGCTGAGAAAACACTGAGGTTTTCATTCCAAACACGGCTCCTGCTGGGGTCTGTTTGCTTTGAGCTACAGAAAAAAGAGCTCAGGAATGTGAAGGCTTCCTGGGGGACTCAGGACAGCACCAGCACAGCCAGATCTGAGCCCCTACCATGTGCCATACCTCACTGTCACCATCCCACCCATGCACCTTGGACACGCACCGTGGCCATTACGTACTGCAGGGTCCCACAGAGCCGCACACTCCTGCTGAAGCGCCGCTCCAGGTACTGGGGACAAGGAGAAGGGACAGTGGTGGGTCCATCTCAGGGGCTGGGTGCATCTCTGTGCCCCTCCACCTTGCCTGCGCCCACCTCATAGGTGCTGGTGAGCCCCAGGCGGTAGAAGACAGGGAGGAAGAGCTTTGCGGTGAGCAGTGTGTTGAGGAGCTGCCCCAGGCACATCCAGAGGAACTTGGCTCCGTAGCGGTGCGCCTCGGCCGGCACCCCCAGCACTTGGATGGCTGACATGAAGCTGGCGGAGAGCGAGAGCCCCACGGGCAGTGCTGACATGCGCCGGCCCCCCGTGAAGAAATCCTCTGATGTCTTCTGGCCGCCCTTGGCGAGGCCGTGGAACAGCCCGATCCCAGTGGACACCAGCAGCATCAGTGCGAACACCCCGTAGTCCCAGAGGCTGAAGGTGAGACGCTCTGGCACCCACAGCTCCAGGCTCCCCGCCGGTGCCAGTGTGGTGGCTGCAGGGGGAGAGACCCCAGCCAGGGACACAGCACAGGGACACGGCACACACAGCACAGGGACACAGCACACACAGCTCGGGGACACAGCACAGGGGCACGGCACAGGGACACAGCATGCACAGCTAGGCCAGGACACAGCAGCACTGGTGCGTCCGAGAGTGGTGAAACTGGAGGGGGAGAAAACTCCTTGTAGTTATTGACCAGCACTCAGAAAGGACCAAGCATGGAGTGAAAAGCATATTTGCCACCCTTTCCCATCTCACCCCACCCTGTCCCTGTCCCAGGTCGGGTCTGTGCTGAGCAGCCGGGTGGGTGTTTGGCTGCAGAGCCCAAATTCCCGAGCTCAGCACAGGAATTGTCCTGGGTACCTCCCTGTCCAGAGCATGCACGAGAGGAGAACAGCAGCGCCTGGTCCAGCAGCTCCAGAGGACTCCAGGCACGGGCCCCATGGTTCCCCCACGCGAAGGACGTGGAGGCACAAGCAGAGAGCAGCAGAGCCGCCGCAGCCGGGTTATCTCCAGCCCCAGGGGACAAAACAAACGCAAACTAAACCTTTACCCAGAGCCGAACAGGGCCCCGGATCCGCGCAGCCGGCGGGGAGCGGGCGCTGCCGGGGGGTCCCGGTGGGTCCCTGCTGCAGTGTCTGTGGCGAGGGGCCGGTTGTGCCTCGGACTCCTGCAGCAGCGGGGCGGGAGCCGGGGGCAGGTTCAGGCCGTCGGGGAGGGAACCTTGGAGTGTCGGGGGCCGCGTCCATAACCCCTTCCCTCCCGCACACCCCGGTTAACCCCCGGCGCCCCGTATTGCAGGCGCTGAGCCTGGGGGAGCGGAGAGATGGATCCGGTTGATGGGATATGTGTCGTCAGGTGTGGGGCCGCGCTGCTTCCTCATTCCCTGGCACAAAAGCTGCTTTGTCCCGCTGGGCACCTGGACAGGTTTGTCCCACAGGGATTTCCCCACTTTGGGCTGAGCCCTGGGGATAAGCCTGCGGCTGGGACTGGGCATGAGCCCCAGTGTGGGAACAGAGCCACCACAGGGCATCACTGAGCACTGAGGCAGAGGAGAGTCCCTGGTCCCCAGGGTTTGACCCCAGCTGGTGGCCTTGTCCCCAGCCTGTGTCCCCAGGGGCACCCTTCCCCCCTCACCCGTGGCTTTGCCTCCTTGCTGAGCTGGTTAGAGCAGCAGAAAAGGGAAAAACAACGAGTGGTTGCTGCTGGGCCCGGCCACATCCGTCAGTGGGTACGTGCACAGCACGGGGATCAGTCATGCACCAGCCCCATGGTGACCCGAAAGGCACAACAGCACCAGCAGCACCATGGGGCTGGGCTGACGGGGCCACTACTGGGGTGAAGGGGCTGAGCCCATCTCAGTGGGGCTCAGTGGGGCAGGGAGGGTTCCAGCAATGGGGTGCAGTGGGTGGCAGGAAGCACCTAGCCCCTTACTCTGCACAGTGGGGTGGGACAGGATGGGGCCCTGGCAGAGCACTGCCCACCCCTGTGGTACCCACAGCACCAGATGCTGTGGCAGGACCAGCAAGGAGCTGGGTCCATTGGGGTGCCCAGTGGGGTGCCCAGCACCAAGTGGGGTGCCCCACTCCCTGCCCCTTCACCCCCCGGCTGGTCCCTACAAGCTCGGGTGGCTCCTTTCTGCCTTGCACCCCAAACTGCCCCCCCCCTTTCCAGGAAGCCGCCTGTGAGGAGGCTGTGGGCAGGAAGGAAGTCACCAAGGGGAGTTTTGACTCTCTCCTTTCCTCATAGGCTCTGAGCAGCAGCTTACACAGCCCCAGAACCCCGGCCAGGACCCTGATCCAGGAATCCTGACTGCAGAACCCCAATCCAGGAGCCCTGATCCAGTGGCACAGCCCAGAGCCAGACCCATTCCTCAGGGCCAGAGCACTCGGGAGCAGGTACCGTTCCAGCCCAGGGGGCTTCATGAGGTCCATCCAGCCCGGCTGATCACAGAGATGAAGCTGAGTCCTCTCTGTCCATTCCTGGGACCGATTCAGGGCATGGGAACAAAGACAGCAGCAGGGGGTGGTGGGTTTATACCCATGCCTGCAAAACAGTTTGCGTGCCTCAGTTTCCCCTTCATCCTCACCAGGACAGGCTGACCCCAGCAATGGAGGTGCTGCGGGTGCGGTGGTTGGGTTTGATTCCAGGGAGGATGCAAAGGGAAATTTATGGGGAAGGGGGTGAGGTTCACAGCTGAGCTCCCCCTGTTGTTGTAGCCTCCACCATGGCCCCGCTGGGTGAGGAGACCCCCCTGATCGGGGAGCGCTCCTGCAGCCTCTCCTCAACTGAGACTGGCACCCTCCAAGTGTACCTGTACCACCGGGTGCCCCCTGGCGCTGCTGGTGTCCTCACTTTCACCTTCGGCGAGTACACGGCCGAGGAGCTCTGTGTGCACGCTGCCAGAGCCTGCGGTGAGAATCAGCCCCAGTGCCGCGGGTACCAGCTGTGCCTATCGGCTCCTGATGCCGTGGGTGCCGGATGTACCTGTCCCCTGGGAGGGTCACGGCACTCTTCTTGTCCCCAGGTGTGCTGCCCATTTACCACCCGCTCTTCTCCCTGGCCACTGAGGACCTGAGCTGCTGGTTCCCTCCCAACCACCTCTTCAATGTCGATGAGTCCTGCAGCCAGGTCGTGGTATACAGGATCAGGTACAGCCCCAGCATGGCTCCCTGGGGAGTCTCTGAAGACTGATAGAGGTTATGCACTGTGGGAGATGTGGTGCTGAGGCCTCCTCTGCTCTCTCCATCAGGTTCTTGTTCCCCAGCTGGTGTGGGCTGGGGCAGTCCCACCGTTTCCAGCTGCTGAACGACCGGGCCAGCCCTGTCCTGGACTACCCCGTCATTGATTACCTTTTTGCCCAGGTGAGCCCTTTCAGGCTGGCATCCCTGTCCCCAGCACCAGGGACCACAGGTGAAGTCCCATGTGGCATCTCAGGGGTGTGATACGTGTTAACCTCGAGGCGGCAATACCCTTTACTGCCCAGAGCCATGCCACCCTCCTCCTCTTCCTCCTCCTCCAGCACCCACCACAATGCCTGTGGGACATGGGTCCTCCTCCTCAGCTCAGCTGGAGCATCCCACACTGAGTCTGGGGCACCCCAGGTTGCTGATATGGGGGTCACAGTGTTCCCTGTGGGGGGGGGGTGCATGCCCCAGGACAGAGCCAGCTCCTGGGCAGCAGCAGGAAACCAGAGCCTGGAGCAGGATGTGATGTGCCTGGGGTACCTCAAGTGTAGGGTGCAGGGGGCTGGCACAAGGAACCCCTCGAGCTCCTTGCCCTCCCCAGTCCCGCAGTGACTTTATCGGGGGCCGCATGGCCATGGTGCTGAGCCTGCCCCAGCAGGAGGAGTGCCTGGGCCTGGCTGTGCTGGACATGCTGCGCATCTCCAAGGAGAAGCACCAGAGTCCCAGCGAGGTCTTCAGCCATGTCAGGTGAGTTGGGAGCTGTGGGGACAGCCCAGAACCCGTGACAACAGCCCAGCACTCATGGTTACAGCCTGGAACCATTGGGACAGCCTGGAACCCATGGGAAGAGCACAGCACCCATGGGGACAGAGCAGCACCCATTGGGACAGCCTGGCACCCACCACTGCCTCACCACCCCATCCCTGCAGCTACAAGTCCTGCATCCCGGTGCCGCTGCGGTGCCAGATCCAACAGCATAGCTTCCTCACCCGCAAGCGCATCCGGCACCGCTTCAGCAAATCCCTGCGGAAGCTCGGGGGCTGCCAGACTGATGGGTGCTGCCTGAAGCTCAAGTACCTGCTGGACCTGGAGCGGCTGCAGCGGCGCTGGGCTGAGGAGAGCTTCCTTGTGCGCACTAGCGGCTCTGCCACAGACATCACCATCCATGTGGCCGGTGAAAACGGCATCTTCTGGAGCTGCAGCGGCTCCGAGGTGCGGGTGGAACTGTGCTGGGTGGTGGGATGAGGGTGGGAATGTGGAGTCAGTGCTGGTTGTGTCCCTCAGAGCCGACAGCACTTCTGTGACTTCCCCGACATCGCCGACATCAGCATCAAGCAGGCGAGTGGGGACGGGGTCGCTGTGGAGAACCGCGTTGTCACCCTCACCAAGACAGACAACCGGGTGCTGGTGAGCTGGGGGTGGGGTCTGGGGGATCCCCATGGAGCAGGGGCTGGGGGTGCCGTGGGGCTGACACCCAGCCCTGCTGCAGGAGGTGGAGTTCCCCTCTTTGCGGGACGCATGCTCCTTCGTGACCCTCATCGACGGCTACTACCGACTGACGGCCGATGCCCACCACTACTTCTGCAAAGAGGTGGCCCCCCCCCGGCTCCTGGAGGACCTGGAGAACCAGTGCCATGGGCCCATCAGGTGGGTGCCGAGACTCCTCCTTTGTTCACCCTAACCCACGGGTGGTGGAGGGAGGGGGAAGAAATCACTTGTGTTGGAGACACCGGTCCTCATCCTGCTCACTTCCGGGTGATGCTGGGCCCACTGCAGTGCCATGGTGGAGGGCTGAGCAATGTGGGGGGTCCTTTTGCAGCTCCGAGTTCGCTGTGAACAAGCTGAAGATGGCCGGGAGCCATCCGGGGCTGTTCCTGCTACGCCGCAGCCCACAGGACTTTGACAGCCTCCTGCTGACCGTGTGCACCGAGGTGAGACCAGCATCGGTACTGGCACCAGTGCGGACCTGCGGCAGCTGCTGTGGGACTTGGGGGGCTGCTGCGGGTCCCCGTGCCGCTGAGCCAGGCTCTCCCCCTGCAGACACTCTCCGGCCGGGACTACAAGCGCTGCCTGATCCGCAGGGACAAGGACGGGAGCTGGGGGCTCTCGGGGATGCCGCGGCGGTTCTGCAGCCTGCGGGAGCTGCTGGGCACCTATAGGCACTGTGGGCTGCAGGCGGAGGGTGCCCCCATGAGCCTGGCTGCCTGCTGCCCCCCCCAGCCCAGAGGTGACCGGGCATGATGTCACTGCATGGGTTGTGTGATGCCACGTGGCTGTGTGTCACCACTGTGGTCTCTAGGAGCAGGCTACATGATGTCATCAAATGACATCACAGAGGGGTGTTGGATGGCGTCACAGAGCAGTCATCATAGAACTGGTTGTCTGACATCACAGGGCAGGCTGCATGATGTCACAGAATGTCATAGAGTGGGGCTCTGTGATGGCAGAAGATGAGCTGTGTGACATCACAGGGTGGACTGTGACATCATGGAGTGGGCTGTGATGTCACAGGGCGGGCTGTGACATCACAGGGCAGACTGTGTGAGGTCACAGTGTGTCACGGCCGTTCCCCTCCCCCCAGAAAAGTCGAACCTGCTGATCGTGCGGAGCAGCTGCCCCCACCCCCCCAGCTCCCCCTGCGCTCCCCACCGCAGCCTCAACCAAATGATGTTCCACAAGATCGACCCCCAGAGCCTTGTTCAGGTACGGAGGGGGGCCATGAGGCAATGGTGGGATGGAGCACACGGGCACGGACCCCCATTACACCAGTGTCCCCTGCTCCTGCAGGGCGAGAGCCTGGGGCAGGGCTCCTTCACCCACATCTACAAGGGCATCAAGCGGGACCAGGGGGAGGACGGGTGCCACCAGACCACGGTGGTGCTCAAGGTGATGGACAGCAGCCACCATAACTGCTCTGAGGTGAGGAAGCAGCAGCCCCAGCACCCAGCACTGGGACAGGTCCCCATGGCCCTCCCTGAGCTAGTCTCTCTCCTCTCCCATCCAGTCCTTCCTGGAGGCCGCCAGCATCATGAGCCAGCTCTCCCACAAACATCTGGTCCTGCTGCACGGCGTCAGCCTTGGGAAGGACAGTGAGTGCTGGGGTGATGCGCAGGAGCCATGGGATGTGAATGTGCTGGACCTGACTGTTCTGTCCCCCCTAGGTATCATGGTGCAGGAGTACGTCAGGTATGGACCGCTGGATCTCTACCTGAAGAAGAATCAAGGTGAGGGCAAGGTGACGACGAGCTGGAAGCTGCAGGTGGCCAAGCAGCTGGCGTATGCCCTCAACTACCTGGTGAGCTGCATTCACGTGTCCTGCAGCTCCTGTGGGCCAACTTCCCACAGCTCTCCCAAGTCCTTATCCCATGGCTGTCCCACATCTTTATCCCATGGCTCTCCCATGTCCTTATCTAATGGCTTTCCTATGTCCTTATCCCATGGCTTTCCTGTGTCCTTATCCCATGGCTCTCCTGTTTCCTTATCCCATGGCTCCCATACATCTATGTCCCATAGCCCTCATGGACCCACATCCCAAAGCTCCCATGCATCCATGTCCTACAACACCCATGCATCCATGTCCCATAGCCACCATGCATCCGTGTCCTGCAGCACCCATGCATCCATGTCCCACAGCACCTATGCATCTGTGTCCAAAAGCTCCCATGCATCCATGTCCAGCAGCTCCCATGCATCCATGTCCTGCAGCTCCAGCACATTCGTGTCCCATAGCTCCTGTGCATCTGCATCCTTCAGCATCCATGAAACCATGTCCCATAGGTCCTAAACACCCATGTGCATCGACATCCCCACAGTTCCCACACATCCCCATTGGGTCACCCTGGTTGGACCAGCTCAGCCTCATGCATGGGGCTGCCCCATGGGCTGGGGCTGCACTGATGATCCTGATCCTTCTCCCCTCCACAGGAGGACAAGAAAATCACGCACGGCAACATCTCAGCTAAGAAGGTGCTGCTGACGCGGGAGGGGGATGTGGCCAGCGGCAGCCTCCCCTTCATAAAACTCAATGACCCTGGAGTCAGCGTCTCCATCCTGACCAAGGACAGTAAGTGCTGGGGCTGGGGGTGCCAGACCTCCCCCGGTAGGTGCTAAGCAGGGCCCCTGTTCGCAGTGCTGGTGGAGCGCATCCCCTGGCTGGCCCCCGAGTGCCTCCGGGACCCCAAGAGCCTGGCTCTGCCCGCGGACAAGTGGAGCTTCGGGGCGACCCTCTGGGAGATCTTCAGTGGTGGGAACATGCCCGTGAGCCTGCTGGAGCCCCAGAAGGTGAGGCTGCCCTGTCCCTCCATCCCAACCCTTCTGCACCATCCCACTGCATCCTGATCCTCCTCTACCATCCTGCTGCCTCCTGAAAATCTTGCACCATCCTGCTGCATCCTGATTCTCTTGCACCATCCTGCTGCATTCTGACCCTCCTGCCCCATCCCACAGCATCCTGGCACTTCTGCACCCCATCCTGCTGCATCTTAACCCTCCTGCCCCATTCCACTGCATCCTGACTCTCCTGCCCCATCCTCCTGCCCCATCCTGCTGCATCCCAACCCTCCTGCCAGATCCCGCTGTGCCTGGGCTCTGCTCACTCACCCACTGCCCATCCCACCCTGGGATTTCTCTGCTGAAAGAGGCTCTGGTCACCCCAGAGAAGGGGCATCATTGGGGCGACGGGCAGCCATGGCAACCATGGCAACCAGTGCTGGGGTCTTGCAGGGCTCTCCCCATCCTCAGGGTGTGTTGAGGTGGTTGTGGGTCCAGTGCTGCAGGCACCAGCAGTAACCAAGCCCCAGCCTGACATCCCTCACCCTTTGAGTGACCATAGAGCCATGGAATGGTTTGGGTTGGAAAGGACCTTAAGACCATCTGGTTCCTGGGCAGTGTGAGGGGTTTGCACAGCCCAGTGAGGGACTGTTTGCGGGGGTCACAGGGCCGGGCACCTCATAACCAGCCTGAGCCTTATCTCCCCCCCCTGCAGAAGCTGGATTTCTATGCGAGTAACCTCCAGCTCCCTGCACCCAAGTGGACTGAGCTGGCCACGCTCATCGCGCAGTGCATGGACTATGAGCCCTGGTGCCGGCCCTGCTTCCGTGCCCTCATACGCGACCTCAACAGCCTCATTACCTCCGGTGAGCCCATGACATGGGGAAGGGGGGTAATGGAGTTTGAACACCCTGGGGCCCTCACACCCGCCTCCCCCAGACTATGAACTGCTCTCGGACCTGTCCCCTGCTGATGCGGTGCTGCGGGACAGCTTCTGGGGGTGCGAGCCCCTTGCCATGTGCCAGGACCCCGCATGCTTTGAGGAGCGGCACCTCAAGTACATCTCACTGCTGGGCAAGGTGAGTGGGGGCAGAGGGAGCCCCAGAATTAGGGCATGAGTTGCACCCCCTCCACACCCTTCCTTACCGGCATGTGGGGCATGAAACATCCTCTGCTTTGCCCTGTGAAGCTGAGTAGTTTGTGCCCTGTGTGGCATATGGAAGGGCACTGGGAAGATGATGGGGACCCCCATCATCAAGGAACCCCAGCATCCCATATCCCCACCAGGGTAACTTTGGGAGCGTGGAGCTGTGCCGCTATGACCCTCTGGGTGACAGCACGGGTGAGCTGGTGGCTGTGAAGAAGCTGCAGCAGGATTCGGCCAAGGAGCTGAGGGACTTTGAGAAGGAAATCCAGATTCTGCACTCGCTGCAGCACGACTTCATCGTCCAGTACCGGGGGCTCTGCTACAGCCGGGGTGAGAGCATAGGGCAGGGAGTGGGCAGGGATGCTTTCCCTGCATCCCAGCTGGAGTGTGATGGATGTGGCTGCAGGATGCCGCAGGCTGCGGCTGGTGATGGAATACCTGCCCAACGGCTGCCTGCGGGACTACCTGCAGAAGAACCAGCCCCGCCTGGACCACAGGGCCCTGCTCCTCTACGCCTGGCAGATCTGCAAGGTGGGACCATGGGGATCAAAGGGGTCCCACTCTGCCCTGTGGGGTGGGGACAGATGGGGATGAAGAGATTGTAGTCCCTGGGTTGCTGTGAGCGGCTGCATCTTGGGCAGGGCATGGAGTACTTGGGCGCGCAGCGTTGTGTGCACAGGGACCTGGCCAGCAGGAACATCCTTGTGGAGAGTGAAACCCATGTCAAGATTGGGGACTTCGGGCTGGCCAAGCTGCTGCCAAAGGACAAGGACTATTACGTGGTGCGGGAGCCCGGCCAGAGCCCCATTTTCTGGTGAGGTGCCGCTGGAGGGAAGCTGTGGTGCTGGTCCCTCAGCAATCGGTGCTCAGTATCCTCCCCGTGGCAGGTATGCACCCGAGTCCCTGTCGGACAATGTCTTCTCTCAAGCATCCGACATCTGGAGCTTTGGGGTCCTCCTCTATGAGCTCTTCACCTACAGCAACAAGATCAGGAGCCCCTCAGAGGTGAAAGCCTGACCCTGGACCTGTTGCCTTTGGTATAAGCCCTGTGCCCATGGGTATCCCCCTGCCCACAGGAGTTCCTCCGCATGATGGGCACTGAGAAGACGGCGCAGATCATCTGCCACTTGCTGGAGCTCCTCAAGGACAACAGGTGCCTCCCGGCACCATGTGGCTGTCCTGAGGCGGTGAGAGCCCTGCCCTGGCTGGTGGGGACTCCGGGCGGGGGGGGGCACCACCGTGCTGCACCTGATGGAACCATCCCTTGTGTGCCCCCCCAGGTCTACGCACTGATGCTGACTTGCTGGGCCTTCACCCCCAGTGCCAGACCCACCTTTGGAGAGCTGGTCCCCAGGATTGAGGTGCTGCGGGATGGACGGAGCAAACTCTGAGGGAAGTGACCCCAGTTCCCCCCATCCCTCCCCAGCACCAGGCGCACAGCATGTGGATGCTTCACTTGGCTTTACTGGCTACAGGGACACGCTCCCCATCACCCTCCCCATGTAGTGCCACTCTGGCTCCCCCTTTTTCCCCCTCTTCTGCCTGTCACTAACTCCACCACAGTGGGATTTGGGGTTCTAGTAAAGTTTGGTTTGTTTGCTTTCCATCCAGTTCTTCAGGGCTCCTCTGGACATGGGACGGAAGATTTGGGGTGAAATCAGGCAGAAATGGGGCCAGGGGCAAGACGGTTTCACTTGGCAGTGCCCAGGATGGGAACTGGAGCTCAGCATCACACTGGCCTCACAGTGAAGAGAGGGGTCCCCCCTTGTGGTCCTGGGTGTCCGGGTTTGCTGTGAGCAACCCTAACCCTCAGAGAAGAAGCCTCAGGACAGGGGTCCCCTGGGCAGCACATGGAGACCCCAACAAGAGCTCATCAGCACCAAACAGTGGTGGGAGCACTGGTGTGGACCCTGCTGCACTGCAAGGAGCTTGAGCCCCTGGAGAACTCCCCAAGAGCCCACTGGTACCTTGCTGCAGAGGCAGCTTGGGGCCATTCACACCCTGCACCTCTCCTGGAGCTGGGAGCACTGAGCCCCAGAGGCACAGGGATGTTCTGCAGGTATTCAGTTCCTGCTGGGTACAGTCCGTCCATCCATCCATCCATCCATCCATCCATCCATCACTCCATCCATCCATCCATCCATCCATCCATCCATCCATCCATCCATCCATCCTCCATCCATCATCCATCCATCCATCCATCCATCCATCCATCCATCCATCCATCCATCCTCCATCCATCACTCCATCCATCCATCCATCCATCCATCCATCCATCCATCCATCCATCCATCCATCCATCCATCACTCCGTCCACCCACCCCTCCATCCATCACTCCCTCCATCCACCAGCTGCAGGTTGGGCAGGAGCACCCCTGGGTGCAAGGACAGGGTTCAGTCAAGTGCTGCTCGTTCCATGCCTCAATTTCCCTCATCCCTGGAGCCCCATTCCCATGGAGCAGCCTGGAGGCCATGGGGTCGGGCACTGGGGCACAACACAGGCAGGTGCCAATGGGGTGGGGGGAGAGGAGGAGGGGTGGGGATTAGAAAATTAAATGTTTAATAAAAGAGCAGCACAGGGGAGGGTGGAGGGGATGTGGTGACATCCATGGACCAGGGGGGGCAGAGGGAGATAAGGGCAGCTCCCACATGGCAGCAACCCCTCCCCAACCAGCCTTCATCCAGTGTTTCACACACAACCAAGGGGTAACCCCAGAGGGAGTCAGTTTAGATCCCTATGGAGAAAAGGGAGTGAGAGGCAGCTGCAAGGGCTGGGGGCGTGTATCCAGCACAGGGATGGTCACTGGCTAGGGCTCAAACTGCACCCTCTTGAGCTGGGCATCCCTATGGGACACTGCTATAGGGTATTGCACAATGGAGCTTCAGGTGTTAGGGAGGGGAACCCATGAACCCCAGGGCCATAGAGAACAGGGAAGGGGCCCCTGTGCACCAAAGAAAAGGGACCCCATGCACCCAATAGAGTGGCAAAAGGACCCCATCCACCTTGGGAAAGGGACCCCGTGCACCCTGAAGCCATGAGGAGCAGGGAAGGGACCCTTGTGCACCCTAGGAAAGGGGCCCCCATGCAAGCCAAAGAGTGGGGAATAGACCCTGTTCTCTCCAAGGAAGGGACTCCATGTACCTAGGGGCCACAGCGGATGAAGAGAGGGCCCTAACTCCGCCTCATGGCCCTCTTCTAGCTCTACCCTGTAGCAAACCTCTTCTTGACCAGTGACATGCGGCTTAGCACTCGCCAGCTCCACCTCGACACCTGACAGTGTGCTGCCCTCACTGCTGAACTGTGCCGCCATGGTACATGGGTTTTTTGGGGTTCGAAGTAGGACTGAGTATCCTTGGAAGTTGGGAGATGGAGCGATGAGGAGCTGGGCGCTGGGATGCTACCATGGCAGAGCTCCTCAGGGGGCCTCTATGGGGTCTCAACCATGCAATGAGTTTTGTCTTGTCTCAGACCTGTTCTTAAGTTGAGACCCTAGGCGGGGGGGACACAGAATTAAGGGTAATGGGAGCAACTCCTGCAAACACTGTCACTCAGCTGGTTGTGGGGGGGGGAGCCACGGACGCGATGCCCTCGCTCAGCCTCAACCCCGACCCTTGGTAGGTCCATGCCGAGGGGCTGGAGGACTCCCTCCTGGGAGGTGCTGGAAAGGAGGATGAGGAGGAGGAAGCTGAGTTGGAGGAAGGATGGGGCTGGTCCCTGCCAGGGCTGCGGGTCCTGACCCATGGCAGCGGCTCCCTGAAGGGGTCAGGCGAGGGGGTTTGTCAGGTTGCTGTGCGGCTGCTTCATCCCAGGGCCCCCGCGCTGAGACTCCCCACAGCCCCTCGGTGCCAGGGATGGCAACCGCCAGCGGGGGGAGTTCTGGGAGGCTGCCCTGCTTGAGGAAGGGGCTTTGCAGCATAGCCGGCTGCAGCATTCAAGGCCTGGAGTCCAGGGAGAGTCCAGGTGAGGGGTGCGATGGAGAGTCCAGCCCCGAGTCCTCCACATTCTCCAGGGACGAGGAGGAGAAGGGCGAGGATGAGGAGGTGAGGACAAAGGTGCAGGGGGCTGTGGGGAGACCCCTCCACAGTGTCAGCACCAGAGAATCCAAATGCTGGGGTCTACCATATCGCACCGAGACAATACTCACCAGGTAATTAGTCCGCTTCAAAAGCCACCTCCAGCTGGATCCCGGAGAGAGCAGCGGAGATTACTGCGGCTGAGGGCTTTCCCAAAGTCACTGCATCCTCCACAGAGCGGGCGGTCTCAGCTCCCACTCGGACCCTCTTCCCCAGGAGAAGGGATTGGGGATGGCACATGGGGCGCATCACCCCACAGCACCCCGCTCCCACCCTCCGGTGCATGCAAACCTGCACTGCCGGGAGCCCGGCACCTCTTCCATCTTCTTCCACCTCTTGGAAGCCCTGGGAGCAGGGAAGAGGAAGGCTTTGCCCGGAGCTGTCACCCAGCACGGTGCGCAGAGCGCGAGTGTCCTGCCCTTGCTCCCACAGCTGAAGAGCCAGGACAGAAACTGCTGCTGTAACTGTCCTGCACGAGGTGAGCTGCACAACAGTGCCTTCTGCATTGCTCTTGCTCCTGGCTTTCCCACATAAAAGTCCACTTGCGTGCAGCCTACATGAAGCCCAACCCTGGCTGTCCTGCAGCACACAGTACAGGACAGGAACATCTGGCCCCTGTTCCAACAACTGAGCCAGGACAGAAAGCTGTTGCTGAGCCTTTTCTGCACACAGTGAGCTCCGTGATAGTGCCACCTGCATTGCTCTAGCTTGTTGCTTTCCCACCTAAAAGTCCATTTGAGTCCAATTTGAGTCCATTTGAGTCTCCAGGGTCCACTCCTGGCCATCCTGCAGCACAGTGAGCAGAGCACGAATGTCCAACCCTTGCTCTCACAGCCAATGGGGCTGGTTCTTCAAGGTAATGAACAAATCAGAGCAAATTGACCTCAGTTGGATGTAGTTGTCAGGTAATTCATGAAAGTCTTTTGTACATGTGTAAGCACAGAGGTTCATCAAAGGGTCGAGTGAAGAAGACTAGTGAAGACCACCAGAGACCCCCTCAACAACCACCCAGCAAGGAAGTGTATGCCTGATTAAATTGCAAATATTGTAATTCCAGGAAATGCAGTGAACGAATTGGTGGCCCCCATGTGGCTCAGTCTTTAATCCAGTATTGTAGCAAATAACAAAACATGACAGACCGGCTACCGGGAATCCTACGGAACTGGTCAGCTCTGCTCGAGAACCTATTTATAACTTAAATTGCATTATCTGGTTACGAATGAACTGTGCCCTTGATCTGTTAGCCAAGCAGGCCAGGAAAATGTGGACAGCAAAATTTAAACATTGCATGGTTCTCGACTACCTGCGAGCCATGGAAGGGAGGGCTTGTGGCAAACTAAATTATTCAGTTGTTTTTGAAAATTTATAATGGTTAAGTAGCAAACCGAATCACATCCGGAATTTGAAAATTGGCTCATGTTCCTGGAAAGGATGTGAGTTTGACCCTTTTTCCTGGCTTCCTGGAGGTCTGTGGGTTAAACAAATTTATTCTGTTTCTTACATGGCTTTTTCAATGATTTTTATTTTTACCTTGTATTATCTTGTCCCATTCAATTAATTTGGAGTGTTGTAACAAATGTGCAATTTGTAGCTACTGCCTCTCCTGGTGGAACTAAGGAAATCAGATTAGTATGTCCACAGAAACCACTGGTTGTAGAAATAGTTTAAACTACTGCTCTTTTCATTTCTTGGCCTCTTTTGCACTATCTCTTTTCTAAAACCACCAGTATCCAGAACAATCTTTGAGACACTGAGTGGTGTGAGACATCATTGGTCTGAGAAGCTGAGCTGAGCTGGAAATCCATCTTTTGTTTCAGAGATGGGTGGGAGGAGTTGATATAAGACTCCAATATCCATTGCATATGAGGAGCTGAACTGGGACTCCACCATCCGTTGCCTGAGGGATAGAATCATAGAATAGTTAAGGTTCAAAAGGACCTTAAGATCATCCAGTTCCAACCCCCCTGTTATGGGCAGTGACATCTCCCACTAAACCATGCCACCCCAGGCTCTGTCCAACCTGGCCTTGAACACCACCAGGGATGGAGCATTCACAACTTCCTTGGGCAACCCATTCCAGTGCCTCACCATCCTCACAGTAAAGAACTTCCTTGTTATGCCCAAACTAAACTTCCCCTGTTTAAGTTTTAACCCATTAACCCTTGTCCTATCACTATAGTTCCTAATGAAGTGTCCCTCCCCAGCATCCTTATAGGCCCCCTTCAGATACTAGAAGGCTGCTAAGAGGTCTCCACGCAGCCTTCTCTTCTCCAGGCTGAACAGGCCCAACTTTCTCATACGTACCCTGATCTCTCCAGTGCCCTGATCATCCTCATGGCCCTGCTATGGACTTGTTCCAGCAGTTCCATGTCCTTTTTATATTGACGACACCAGAACTGTACACAATACTGCAAGCGACGTGTCATGAGGGCAGAGTAGAGGGACAGGATCACCTCCTTCGACCTGCTGGTCACACTCGTTTTGATGAAGCCCAGGATACAGTTGGCTTTTTTGGGCTGTGAGTGCACACTG